GGCTGACCCCATAGCAGGGTACTTATCTGTGGGGGTTGATGCCACAGCAGGGTCCAGAGGGGGCTAGAACTAGGTAGAGAAGCTTCCAGCTCTGGAACTCACCATCTTGAAAGGTTTCTTCCTTGTCATCTTTTGAGAAGCGGAGGATGTCTGGGTGGGGAAGATGGTATAGGAAAGCCAGTTAATCCTGTGTGGAACCTTTCACCTGTCCTGTACCTGCACCCCGGGGGCTTCCTCTTCCAGGCCAGGGTGTGGCAGCTTTTCTCAGTACAACCTGGGAACCCCTGGCATGAGAATCACCTGGGATGCTTGTTAAGACATTCCCTGGCCTCGTTTGGTCTTATGAAATTGACTCTCTGGATCTGGGACCTGCATTTTAAACAGGTGCCTCAGGTTAGGTTAGATTCTGTACACTAATACCTGAGAACTGCCTTCTCAAGTGAGGGAACTGGGCTCCCTTCCTGCCCTGCTTCACCTATTCCCAATCCTGCCAATTTCCTGGGTGATTCAAGTTTCAAGGACATAGATTTTATCTTTGCACAAGACCACAGTTTGCATGTTTGACAAGAGAAATGAGCGTGTGCAGGAGACAGAAAGAAAAGGAAACCTCCTAGATCATGGTGTCCTCCTGTCCAGGGAGAGGAGAGTTCCCAGGAGGGCCTGGTGGACAGTGTGTTCATTGGTGACTTACTCTGGACAAATCCACAGGATGTCTGAGTGCATCGGGTTGAGGCGTGGATGTCAGGTGAGGAAGTGAGGACACAGAGATTAGGCTATAGGCTAGTCTTTGAGAAAGTTGGCTGTGAGTGGAAAGTGGGTGAAGAGGAAGAAAAGCTGGAAAGCTTGCATGAGGGTGGTTTATGGGATGCCACAGACCTGAGCATCTCTAGGCCACGAGGAAGGATCCAGGTGAACTAGAGAGGACGTAGATAAATTGAATGGGCATTTATCTGCATTCTTCGTATGAGCAATTCTGGAGAGAAGGTGTCATTTCCATTGTACAGATATGAAGGCTGACACTCAAGAGAGGTGGTTTTTGGTGGGTGTGTGTTAACCCATTAACATCCTACCCTCTCAACAGGAAAGCCAGCAGATAGTTGATGGCCGTTCCCCTTTTGCTGTCCTCAGGAGATGCAGACTCCCTCTCCCCCGCCTCCTTCAGTATCTGCTTACCCCACTCATCCTCTTTGATCACCAGCTGCTTCCTCTTATAGGCCAACACCGTGCCCTCTGGTAGAATCACTGTAGATAGATCTTCTTTGTGACCCTCTGTGCCACCTTTACTCTGAGGAGAGAAACCATGCCCAGAAGTGTACAGCTCTTTGCCTCACAATATCATTTATTAAAAATGTTGTGTGTTTTAAATCAAAGTAATATAAATAATTTAAAAAGTAAAATAGATTAACAAAGTTCATGAAAATAAAAATAACCACAGTAGTCACATGCCTACTTCTGATTCCTTATTTCCAGTTACTCCTCTTTTCAATTTCCTTCAGTATTTACCTTCACTTTTCAAATTTCATGCTTCTATTGCCATGTCTTGGAGTGACACTGTAGGATATTCACTGTACCACTAATAAAAAGGTCAGCAGTTCAAACCCATCAGCTGCTCCTTGGAAATGCTATATAGGGTTGCTGTAAATCAGAACCAACTCAACAGCATGAAACAACAAATTGCCATGTCAGATTTTTTTCAGATTTAAGTTTTCTGTCTTACTCTTTTCAATGATGAGGAATCATTTTCTTTCTTCCAACCCTTAGTCCTCGCCTCCCTTCTTCCCATCTTCTGAAATACTGACATCCTAATGCCTGTGAGTTCAGATTCAGGGCTTCCTGTTGTGGGGGATGCTTTCCTCGTGCCAGATGCTTCCTTTCTCAGTTACTTAATGTGATACTCCTGTGCTATCACTGCCGGTTTAGTTTCTTTTCAGGAGAGGCGGGAGGTACATTTTTTTTGAGAACTTATATTTCTGAAGACATTTTTATTTTGCTCTCATACTGATAAATATTTTGCCTCTACATAGGTTTTCAGGCTGAAGGTCTTTCAGATCAGACACTCCTCAGGAGGAAGATGTGACTGTGTCTGTCTATCAAGCTTTACAGTCTTGGGAACCCTCTGGGTAGTTCAACTCTGTCGGTAGTTCAACTCCGTCCTTTAGAGTTGCTATGAGTTGGAATTGATATGACAGTGGTGGTTTTGCTTGGTCCTAAAATTTTCATCTCGATTAGGTCTACTTTGACCCATTATACAATGCAATGTCCTTAGTTAGCTATTTCCTTTTGGAATCACATCCTTCAGCTCTCAGAATCTTTCTTGTGTTATTTCTGTGGTACGTTTTCCCTTTGCATTGTACCTTAGTTCTCCCTTTCTGGAACTTGTATTATTCAGAATCTGTCTCTCCTGGACCGACTCTGATTTTCTCATTCATATTCTCCAATTTCCTTGATTTATTTTTCTAACATTTCTATTTAAGTTAAAAAGTTCCTGCTAATATATTTTTAATTTTTAAGAGGTATATATATATATTGGGGATTCAAAAGTTTCATGGAATGATCCCATCATCTTTTAATTCCATTTTTCTGTGACTATTTTCTAGCCCTCTCATATATTATGGATTGAAGTGCATTCCCCAAAATTTATATTGGAAATCTCAACCCTTTGTAAACATGACTCTGGAAATAGGAATTTTCTTTGTTCTGTTAATTAGGGAGCTTTGGTAGCTTAGTGGGTTACATGTTAGCCTGCTGACCACAAGGTCAGCAGTTTGAATCTACCAGCTCTCCTCAGGAGAAAGATGAGCCTTTCTGTTTCTGTAAAGTTAGGAGTCCTGGTGTGGTGCTATGGGTTAATGCGCCAGACTGCAAAGCCGTTTGAACTTCAGGGTCGGCAGTTCAAGCTCACCAGCTGCTCCTTGGAAACCCTATACAAGATCACTATGGGTCAGAACCGACTCATCGGCACTTCACAACACAACAAGAACAACAACGCTGGACTGCAAGGTTTGTTTGAACCACAAGGTCGGCAGTTCAAGCTTGCCAGCTGCTCCTTGAAAATCTTATACAGGGTCACCAATTCAATAGCATTTAACAACAACAGAATAGAGTTGGTCCTAAGCCTAATAAATTTTGAACTGAGTTTTATTAAAAAAAAAAAGCACAAGAGACAGAGACCCATGTATGGAGGAAATGCCTTACAAGGATTTTCTTTCAAGCTAAATACCACAAAACACTGCAAGCAGACCCCAGAAACTAGTAGAGTAGCCCACAGAAGGGATTGAAATTACACAGTCCCTGATTTGAAATTTTAGCATTTGTGGTTGTTGGTGGTTGTATACCATTGAGATGGTTCCTCAAAGTGACCCTGTATAGGGTTCTCAACCATGAAAAACTACATTTCTGTCTTTAAACACTTGTGGCATTTTCATTGTTGTGTGGCAACAATAGGTAACTAAAACACTAAGAATGTATATATATATAGACTCGCCGGCACTTAACAACTATATATACTCTGGTAGCGTAGTGGTTACGAATTGGGCTGCGAACCTTAAGGTCAGCGGTTTGAAACTACCAGCTGCTCCGCGGGAGAAAGATGAGGCTTTCTACTCCCGTAAGGATTTACACCCTCGGAAACCCTGTACAGGGTCGCTATGGGTCGGAACCGACTCGACGGCACTTAACAACAACAACAATATATATATATATATATGTAAAATGGAGTCCTGGTATGGCACTGTGGGTTAATGCACCAGATTGCCAAGCCGTTTGAACTGCAAGGTCGGTGGTTCAAGCTCACCAACTGCTCCTCAGAAACCCTACACAGGGACGCTATGGGTCGGAACTGACTCAACAGCATTTAACAACAACAACATATATATTTAATAGAAAATTACTCTTTCATGGAAATAAACTGTTATCTCTTTGAGAGGTGAATTTCTTCTTTCTGTGTTGTCATTGTTTCTAAGATCGGATCCATTTCATCTATATTATGCAGTATGTTGGTGTACAATTGTCCACAGTATTTTCTTGTGTGTCCACAGTTTTCTTATGTGTCAGTTTGTCATACTTGCATTTTTCTGTGATGCTGGAAACTATGCCAGCATTATTTGAAATACCAACAAGTTTGCCTGTGGTGGGCAAGTTTCAGCTGAACTTCTAGACTAAGACAGATTAGGAAGAATGAGAGATCAACCATTTCTGAAGGGTTAACCATGGAAAACCTTATGAATAACAGTGGACCTTGTTTGATATAGTATCAAAAGATGAGTTTCTCAGGTTGGAAGGCACACAAACTACGAATGGGGAAGAGTTGCCTCCTCTTTCATAGTTTGTGTGCCTTGGATGGAACAAAACTTTCAGGATCTTCATTTTCTAATGGAG